GATTGGTGTACTCAGCTTCAGAGCTTCTATCACTAGCATCCAGAGATGGAAAGACATCCAAGACTCGAACACCGCATTCTTTTATGGGCAATAAGAAACTAGTTTGAAAGCCAATATTGGAAGTCCAATTGAGATGGTATTTGAACTCAAATTCCACATTTTCGCAGTCCAATTGAGACGGAGGATCTTCTTGGAAGAAGATATTAAAGTGAAACACGAGCAGAGGATCCATCTTAGCTGAGCCCATGCCTGATATAACTTTCTGCGCACCTCTGAATTTCCAGTGGACAATGATCGTTTCATAAACATATTGGAAGCCACTAGCAGGAAGGTTAGGATTAGGAATGATATAAGCTGTAAATCTCAAACGGTTTTGAGAAAGAGAGCTTTGAGGTAAAGGGACAGTTAGGGAACTTCCAGGAGCTCGATGCGTGAAGTATGTAGGCACTTTTTTACCAGGTGAGATTGCATCGGAGCAATTGTGGAATAGAAACTCAGTATCTAAATCGGAGCAGGAGAGATACATTTCCTCATGTAATTCTGCTACCGTTTTCACCAGAATTGTATCACTAACTAACGTGACTCCCCCTGTAAAATCAACACACTGAATATGTTTCAAGTTCCAAATGTTTGCCGATATTTCTTTTAACTTCTCACATCCTCTCATCTGCAGGTAAGTGAGTCCAACGATATTCTCGATCCAGGAGGGAACTGCTTCAATCGCAGTGTTGCTTAGATTGAGCTCTTCGATGCTTGTTGAAATCTGAGGAAAAGTTCTCAACCGTGAGCATCCACTAAGATCGAGAGTAGTAACAGATACCAAGTTGATGTTGGTTGGAAGAACCTCCAGACTAGTGCATCTGCTCATCTGTAGTGCACTGAGCCCAACTATATTCTCAATCCAGGAAGGAACTTCTTCGATCGCAGTATCACTCAGATTGAGATATTCAATGCTCATTGAAAACTGAGGAAAAGTTCTCAACCGTGAGCATCCACTGAGATCGAGATAAGTGAGAGATACCAAGTTGACGTTGGTTGGAAGAACCTCCAGACTTGTGCATCCTCCCATGGACAGTCTCTCCAGTTTCTCGAGATGTTGAATGGAAGAAGGAAGTTTTACCAAACTTGTGCAATTTTCGAGTATCAATCTCTCAAGATGATTGGCCTTTGGAAAATCTGTAATTTCTTCGAGGCTTTTGCATCCTGACAAATTCATTTCTTTGAGATGAAGAGCATTCGAAAGATCTGGAATTTCTTTCAGAGTTATGCATCCTGACAAATCCAGCTCATCGAGATGTTGAATGGAAGAAGGAAGTTTTACCAAACTTGTGCAATTGTCGAGTATCAATATCTCAAGATGATTGACCTTTGGAAGATCTGGAATTTCTTTCAGGCTTTTGCATTCCGACAAATCCAACTCCTCAAGATTGGTGGCCTTTGAAAGATCTGGAATTTCTGTCAGGGTTATGCATTCTGACAAGCACAACCGGCTGAGACTAGTGGCATTCGAAAGATCTGGAATTTCTTTGAGGCTTTCACAACATACCAAATCCAACTCCGTGAGTTTTGTAAGCGACTGAAACATGCAAAGTAGAACACCGAATAAATTGAACTACCCATGAAAGCATAATTTTCTAATTTATGTAATACTTTTAAAAATGATTCTTTCTTATATAAAAATCTAATTAATCCAACAGATGACATAACCCGTAATTTTAAACTTAATTAGACTTTGTAACAAAACATTACCTCGACTCCTTCCCATAGTTTCTCAAGCTTGCTATTTATCATTGAGAGTTTAGTGAGATGTTCCGGATGAAATTTAGGAGGCATACATCTTAGAGGACAATTTTCCCATTCAAGTACAGTGAGCCTCGAGAGATTCTCAATCCAATAGCAATCTTCTTCTTCCATTGCAGTTCGATATAGATAAAGCCTTGAAATGTTTCTTGAAATCAGAGGAAAACTTCTCAACTTGGAGCAACCACGCAAATCGAGGTAATCAAGAGATTCCAAGTTGACGTCACTTGGAAGAACCTCAAGCTTTGAGCATTCAGACATACGTAAATCTATTAGTTTCTTGAGATTCCGAATTGAGGAAGGAAGTGTCACCAAAGATGTGCATCCAGAAAAATTCAATATCTCGAGATTTGTGGCATTAGAAAAATCTGGAATTTCTTTCAAATCTCGAGATCCAGATAAATTCATCGCCTTAAGGCTTCGAAATGGCTGAAAACAAAGTAGGGGAAGAGATAATACACACATTCAAAACATTCTAAACAAATTCTAAGCAACACCATATAAAATAAAGAAAAAAAAAAGTTAAAAGTTGGTACCTGAGCTCCTTCCCACAGCTTCTCAAGCTTACTATCCTCCATTATGAGTTCAACCAAATGCTCTGCCTTAAAGTTAGAAGGTATAAATTTTGCTGGATAGTCATCCCAATGTAGCAATATGAGTTTACGGGGAAAATAAATGAGGCCTTGATGAGGTAAACAGATTCTGACTTCACGGGTCTCATGAGGCCACCACTCTCTGGAAAATTTAATAAACCGGAGATTACGCATTCCTTCAAACGATTTGTCATCTATAAACAATGGCTCGTTGATTTCTGATGTGTCCAAACGTATTCCTAGGACATTTTTTGTGCCCTAGAGAAAATTGACACAAAAGAAAGTCATGGTCTTAACAAAAATCCCAACAATCTAGGATTACTAAATTCAAATAAAGTGAGGAATGAAAAGCATATGTAAAAAACTTACAATATTATCGTTAAATACATCAAAGATATCCTTTGGATCCACCAAAAATCGACGTTTTCCAGGATTGTTAATTGACTCCGAACGAACAATTTCTCTACCCAACTTCTCTAGCAAAATGTGCATTTGCACAATTTCGTCTTGTGTGGTTATACGYGCAAGGGACTTATCAGCTAGCGTTCTAAGGCTAGTGTTAACACTAGTGTAACAACTCTTCTCGAGCATGTTTTTGATGTAACTGACACTCTCACCATTGAATAAGCACGCAATGTAGACGAATATATCTTGATCATCTTTTTCATCTAACCCATCGTAACATAATCTTAATGTCTTCTCAATTTTCCCGTTCAAACCGTTTCGGAGCCTAGGCATCATCTCCACCCAATACTCTTTGTTCTTCTTTCTTAAAGAAGAACCCAAAACGTTGAGACCCAAAGGAAGATTASCGGAAAGGTTTGCAACTTCAGCAGCTAGCTCCATAAAACCATCAGGTGGAGAGGCTTTCCCAAAAGCAGATTGACAAAACATTTGAAGAGCCAAATCYYSAGATGGAAACTGAACCTCATAAATAAGGTCAATCTCAYGTGACTYGAGAAGYGCCCTATCTTGAGTGACCACAACAATTCTGCTTCCAAATCCAAACCATTCAACTTTTCCCACTAAAGTCTCTAGTAGCTCTATTTCATCCACATCGTCAAGAACGATAAGAACCTTCCTGTGCTTTAGTCTTTGTTCCACCACACCTAAACTTTCTATCTTTATGTCCTTTTGRCATAGWATCTCTGATAGAAAGTGTTTTGCCCAACTCAGCTTCATGCCAAAGTCCGCTATCTTTTTGTCCTGCATGGTTCTCTTATAAGATGCGAAAGCCCGATGTTCGAATTGGCTAGAAGATAGTCGACTGTAGAGAGCTCTAGCAATGGTAGTCTTACCAATCCCTGAAGGCCCCACAATCCCAACCATTCTCACTCCCCCAGTTTCCAAACACAACTTTGAATCCATAATTGCATCTACATGAGCTCCAATCCCCACAAAGTCACGAAAATCATCCGATGGTGTAAGCATAAGTTTATTCAACACATCCTTGGAGATTAGTTCAATCGCCTCTGCTTCGCCACTCCTGAACTCAAGGAATAGTCAAATGTCAATTCAACATATGTGTATTAAGACAATACAACGCAATGAAATCAAAGAAAGATGAGAACATACGAGTTCTTCTGAGAATCAAATAAAAGAAAAGAAGAACATACCAATTCCGAGAATCATATCCGGCTATAGTTGCAATCTCTGCAAGAGCTCTTACCCACCTTTGTTTCTGATCCTCTGTTTTGCCCTCGCACGTCTTATCAAATGTCTTTCCAAACTCTCCGGTCTGTTTTTTAACATGAGAAGGATCAAGCTCGTAGAAAACCGGAATCACCATTTGATTCATCTCTTTAAAGCACTCGTGGATCTCCGCCAATTCATTCAAACACCAAGTGGAAGAAACATAATTCTTAGAGAGCACGACTATCGAAATCCTCGATTCTCTAATCGCCGATAAAAGCTCGTCCGCGATCAGGTGGCTTCTCTCGATGCCGTTGTCTATGAATGTATTGATTGATTTGCTTTTAAGCTCCTTCACAAGGTGGCTCAGGAATGTTTTGCGCACATCTTCTCCTCTGAAGCTAGGGAATACATCGTACTTCCAGGTGCG